TAGAGGCACCATTGCTTTTATCATTTACAGAAACTGCTAATCTTACCTGTCTAGAGCTTTGCCTTGGTGCTGCTGTCAGGTCTTAGTGGTTGTTGTTTCCGCTGGAGACTAAATATAGATATGAGGCAGGAGACCAGAGAGGAGGGAGGAGAGGGAGGCCCCAGAATCCCTTTGTGTGAAATTTAGGGAGCCCTTTGTCTTCTCTTATTACATCCCATATCTTTAACTCCTTGTTTGGTCCCACAGGTACAGAAGTTTGTCTATGAGCTAATGAAAGCACATTCACACCTCTGCTCACACCACATACACCACAGCATGCGCTGAAGATTATCAGTGTGATTAACAAGATATCGGAGCTCACGCTCGAGTGAATAAAACAAGCCATGAATGACACAGCAATTCCCTGCTTCTGTAATTAGACCACATATGAAGCTATATATTAGACTGTACCTTGAAGTTCTCAATAGAATCTTCTCATTTTTTAATCTTCTAATTTCATCTGATCTTTCATTGTTGAAGTTCTTCCAAACATTCCTGTTTCCAGATCTAGACAGACTGCAAAACTAACCCACAATGGCAGTGATAACTTTATTTACACAGCACTTTTATAAATACTCTACAGTGAAATACAGAGTAAAGCACATTAAAAACATTGTTTTTATGTAAGTGGGCTTTTTTCTTTTAAAAAATCACAATACTCACTGATACAGTTTGTAACAATAGCTGCCTGTCGTGTGGACGTCCTCTGGGCTCAAGGCCAACCTTGTATTTAATTAAGTGTATGTGGTGACAATGTGTATTTGTTGTGACATAGAGAAAATATTTCAGTCACGTTTGACCTTTAAGGTTGATGTTATCTCCACTTGCTCTTTAGCAGGGCATGGAATCTCTCACTTCCAGCTGACGCCAGCTGTCAATAAGAGGGCCGGGGAAGTTATCAGAATGGAAATAATCTCAGCTCTTGTCAGCAGCCGTTGACCCTCCTTTTATCTCTTAACCTTTCAAGGAGCTGTTATTACTGGTGCTAGTGGCTGGCTGTGATGAGTGCTATGCATAATGTATGCATGTGTGTAAGTTGCACATTATTAAACAGTATTATATTGTTAAAGTTATACAGATAACATTTAATGGGACTATATATCAGTAGGTCTGAGCGGTGGGATTATACTTAACAGAGTTTTAATGCATTCTTTTTTTCTTTGTTATTGTACATATCATATCATTATTATGACCTAAAGTAAATCGCTCTACAATGTTGAAGGCAGTTAAGCTCCGACCCCACAAAGAAGCAGGGACATTCTCACTTGATAGGCTGTGGGATAATATCTGTCACTCTCAGGAGATTTATGTGAGACTGACATCAGTGTGAAACCATCATCTGCCACAGTTGATCCTGGCTGCAAGCAATAGCAGCACCCTGAAAGCCGTGGCTGTTCTCCTCGATCAAGTGCCGCAGGAATTTCACACAGTTATCTTTGTCTTCAAAGTTACAATGCCATTTAAACGGGGCTGTAACCATGGGGCCAGCTTTTGCTAGCTGCTGCCTGATAATGGGAGGTGCCTTTTACAGTAACCTTTGCACAACACGACCGATTCAGTGCGATGCTGAGCCCTCTGGTGTGTGTCATCATCATTGCCTTTCAACGAATCTCAAGCATGTCACCTGTGGCAGACCTCTGTCTGTGTTACTCCGCACTTGTCGCCTAGTTGAGCTCAAATGCTTATGCTCTTTATTTAGACCGACTTACTCAGTATGTGATGTCTGTTTCTGTTACCACAAAGCTCATTCTGTGATAACTACACACAATACGATGCCTCTCCCTAAGCTCCTAAAGTAATTGAGAACCATACATAACATACTTCTCTAAAATATCTGCCCAGATACGTTGTGCGCCGTCTTTTGTGTTTCAGCAACATCCTTGGGATGGGAAAATATTCAAAGGATGCTTTGTTGCTCTAAGCAGGGATTACATGGTTACACATTTTTCACTAAGGCTTTATTTGTGGTTATTTTTCACATTTTTTCTCATTTCTGTTTCCACTGTTGTTTCAGTTTTTAGTTTTTATTGCAGTTAGCGTTTGTTTTTGGTGGGTTTCGTAATTATTGTTATCTAAGGGTGTTTTTGTAAATTTGCACAATCTTTAGAAAAATAGATAAAACATAAAAACTACTTCTGGCTGCATCACATATTTGTTTTGCT